TGATCATAAATATCAAACATGACACTCTGAGAATTACGCAAAGATGATAATTTAAACCTTCTCACGAATGAATCAGTCAATTGGTAGTACTGAGGACACTTATCTTGTAAGAAGTCCTCAAGATCGGCATTACACACATATGCGTCAAATTCATCCTTAATGCCTGCATTGACCATAAACTCTTCTGATGTCCACTCACAAGCTCGCACTTCAACATCCCTTGGTGGTTCATCATCTTGCTCACGCATAGCACGCCTAGGTCCTCTCTTTGTTGAGGAACCACCTTGGTACATTCTCCTGGACATATTGCTTTCTCTAAAAAAATTCTGAAATTTTTAGTAACTTCAAAATAAGAGTACATAAAACTAAACAAGATTGGTAGCAACTACTCCTACAAGTGCCTAGAGCCTCTATCATGCATTAGAATTACTTGGGACCTCCTAAATTTGACATGCAAGCTCAAGAACAGGGTCATCTATGCAGCAAAAATTTGCAATGAATAAAGCACTAGAACAAAAGCTAATTGGATCAGTGGAGGAGTCACATACCAAGCAACAATCTTCCAAAGTAGTTTTGTGAATGGAGCTTTGAGCAAGAAGATCGAAAATCGTAGCAAAATGAGTTAGAACCCGTGCTTGAGCTGGATGGGGATTTTTTGGGGAGGAAGATGAAGTGTGTGGGTGCAGGAATAAGTGGAGGGGATCCACCGTGGGCCCACGAGACAGGGGGGCGCGCCCAGGGGGTGTGGGCGCGCCCTCCACCCTCGTGGCCAGGTGCTTGCCCCCCTGCAGTGTTTTCAGTGCCTAAAATCCTCAAATATTCCATTAAAAAATCATACTAAATTTGCAGGGCATTTGGAGCACTTTTATTTTCGGGATATATATTTTTTATTGCACGGATAATTCAGAAAACAGACAGATAATACTATTTTTGCTTTATTTAATCTAAATAACAAAAAGTAAAAAGAGGGTACAGAAGGTTGTGCCTTCTAGCTTCATCCATCTCATGATCATCAAAATGAACCCACTAACAAGGTTGATCAAGTCTTGTTAACAAACTCATTCTGAATAACACGGAACCGGAGAAATTTCGAATAACACTAGGTTACCTCAACGGGGATATGAACATCCCCAATAATAAGAATATCATACTTTTTCTTGACAGTAGGAAGAGGAAATTCAAAACAGTGTGTTGACTAGAGACAATCTAGCAAAGAGAAACTGGAAGGGTAAAGATAGAAATTGCTGTTTTTGTGATTCCCCTGAAATAGTCGAGCATCTATTTTGCACATGTGTAGTAGCTAGGTTTGTATGGGGGGTGGTTCGAAGTGTCATTGGAATTCATGATATGCCTTAAAAGAATAATGGTAGTGTTTGGATTGAGATGTTCCCCACAAAATTAAGACAAGTAATAGCAGTGGGTGTTTCATCGTGTATATCCACATGAACCCAGTGCTTTGTTTTATCAAGTTCCTTATTAGACATCGTATTGGGCTGGTTTACAGAAAACGGAGGGCAACATATGCTACGAGCCGTAGTAGCCATGCTGGTTAAAGTCGCGAATGGATTCTTCAACAAGGGCAGAGGCTGGGCGCCGATGGTCAAACGACTGGGAGTTGGCTAAAACCTGCTACTGGTTCTATTCTTTTCCTGTTAATCTGTAAAGGTCTGATGATGATCCCTCTGTATTGAGTAGAACTTTGTGAAATTGTGTTGGAAAATGTTTGGAGTGGGAAGGGAAGGAGCCCTGCGTGGTTACCTTCCTCTGTGGCCGGGAAACAACGCCCTTCTAGAATGCTGTAGAGTGCCTGGTTGAGTGCTGGACCCCCTAAGATTATGACTCTATTTATCTGTTTCATTCTTCAGAAATGAAAAATAAAATCGGGGGCATGCCTCTTAATTAAAAAAAAGGGCTTCCACACCGTAGTACCCAAAGCTAGTTGCTGCCGGGCAGGCGAGCATACAACAGTTTGCAATGGGCTTGGAATTCAGTTGAGATCAAATGCTGCTTACTACTCCCTATGTAAAGAAATATAAGAGTGTTTGATCTAAACGCTCTTATATTTCTTTACAGAGGGAGCACTCTTTAACATTTTTCAGCTCGTATCCGTTTCGTTGGCATACGTCCCACCCCGAGTCACACACGCGTGACAGGCCCAGAGGGATGGAGAGTAAAAGCGGCGTTCTGCATGATAATGTGGCACATACGAAACACATAATTGCTGCCACAAATAGCTCAATTACACATCATATCAGATATATGGTGACAAGCAGGGCCTTTGTGTGCCTGAACTGTGACATATGAATCACATATACATTTGGTTTCTCTAATATACACATCACCATTGTTTCTAAGGAAGTTTCCCCTGCAGTGGGCCAAAGTTATTCTAAGAAGTGCGTTGAAGACTTGGAAAACACACGTTTGCGAGATCCTATGAAACATAGAGACCAAGACTGCAAGACGAGAGCGAGTTCTGTGAGTTACATTAAAAGAAGTGATATCCATCAAGTCGGATTAACTGTTAACTCAGGTACAAATGAAGCCAAGGAGCGAACCGTGTCAATCACCAAAACTAGAAGAGGTTAAACTGACCTTCAGAACGACACCTTATTGGATAAGGATTGAGGCTATAAGTTTGCATGTTAGTCATCCTTGTCGCATGCATGTTACTTAACTTTTTTTGCCGGCAACTTCAATTTTTATTAGGTAGCATTTCCTCTGTCCAAAATATTAGGTATATTAATTTTCTCAAATGTCCAACATCTCTATGTTCGACCAAGTTTATAGAAAAGAATATTAACAATGAAGATACTAAATGAATAAAATATGAAACTATCGTTCATGATGCCTCTAATACGAAACTATATATTGCATGTCGTAATCGGCGTCTTTGTTGATGCTTCATTAGCACCTTTGTATCTTGCCGTTTTCTTATCTTTCTAATTTATTATAATGTCAACTTTTAAGGGCTTCATTAATTTGAAGCGAGGCGGCTGTCTTCTATCTAAAAAATGCTTTAAGCATGACGGACGGAAAAGTGCAATATTACGCTAACACGTATTTGACTAGACGTTTCATTTCTTTGACATCAAAGCCTTGACTTGCAACCACCCAATAAAGATACGAACCTAGAGGATAACGATGTAGATGAAGTTTCTAGTGATACAGTTACAAGCCTTAAGCCCTTAAGAAAATCCTGCTAGCGAAATTTTGTGACCACGTGCAATTTCAATGTTTTAATGTCAAGGTTAATGGCTTCATTCATTTAAAGCCTTTAAAGCCCAGTTGATGCGTTCTTCCTAAAAAAAGAAGACTTTCAGCAAGATGATTGAAAAGCCGCACAATTATGCTAACATATATTTGATACAACATTTTTGTTTCTTTAATTTCCATGTCTTGACTTCTAACCACCTAGAAAAGACACCCAACCAAGAGGATACCATTGTTGACAAAGTCTTGGTGATACTAGCCATTTAGCCGCCCTTAGGAAAATCGTGCCGATGAAACTCTATGGCATGCATGCAATTTTGATGTTGTAATATCAACCGTTAAGGGCTTTATTAATTTGAAGCCGGATGTATGCCTTCTTTCTGAAGAAAAAAAGCTTTTAACTAGATGGGTGGGAACCGCACAATCATGCTAACAGATAGTTGGCTGAACCTTTTGTTTTTTGATTTCGAAGCCTTGACCTACAACCACCCATAAAATATAGCCAACCTAGAAGATAAGGTCATTGATGAAGTTCTTAGTGATACAAGCCTTTGGCCTTCAGGAAAATAAACTTTCAGCCAGATGGATGAAAAATCACACAATTATGGTATCATAGAGTTTTTTGTTTCTTTGACTTTGAGGCCTTGACTAGCAACCACCCAGATCCTAAAAAAAAGACCTTAGAGGATAATGTTGGTGACAAAGTTTTTGGTGATACATGCCCTTTAGCCCTTATTAGGAAAATCATTGTGATGGAATTTTGTGGCATACATGATTTTGATATTGCAATGTCAACTGTTAAGGGCTTCGGTAATCTAAAGCCGGATGGATACCTTCTTTTTTATATTTTTTCCTTGCTAGATGGATGAAAAAACACACAATGAATGCTAACACAGAGTTGACTAAACGTCTTGTTTTCCGCAAAAAAAAGAAGAAAGACTAAACGTCTTGTTCCTTTGAGTTCGAAGCCTTGACCTGCAACAACCCAGAAAAAGACAGCTAATCTAGAGGATAACAGTGTTGACAATGTTTTTAGCGATACAAGCCATTTAGCCCTTAGAAACACAGCTCGCGTGCATATATGTAGAAAATTAAGCCGTTTAGTCTGCCCACAGTAGTCCTGGCCATCTCCGCCCGGCCCTGTCGGCCCACCCAGGCCCGGCCCTAAAATCCAGGGCCTAGGCCTGATGGGCTTGCCCGTGGGCCAGGCTTGGGCCTGAGTTTTGAGCCCACCAGCAGGGCCTGGACGGGCTTGGACTTGGCATATTGGCATTTTAAGGAAGAGGCTCGGCCCACGGCCCTAAACCCTAAGGACTTTTTGGGGCTTTTTATCAGATAGGCCAGACTTGGGCTTGAAAAGTAGGCCCGATGGTAGGGCCCGGGCCTCAGTTTTCTGTTGTGGGCTTTTTTAGGTCCGGCCCAAGCCCGGCCCATGGCCAGGTATAGCCCACGGCTAGCTTCTCTGACGGTTCACTTATATTGAAGGGCCCGTCTAGGACACATTTAGATGTGACATAGTTATGTCATATCTAACCTGATGTTCATTATGTTTGTGGTCAAATTTTTTTTGTTCAAGCTATTTTTTTCTTGTTGCTGCGTTATTTGTGGGAGCTTAGATGTGGCATCCTTAGAAAACATCTAGATGTGAATTAGGCAAACTGTATATTGAACTCATGCTCGCGCGGAAACGTGCAAGGTTTACCATGCCGTGAGACTTGACCTCAAGCCTACTTAAGGCCTCGCTTGTCTCTGTTGGCTACAACCCCAGGCAACCAATCATCAAGAGAAAAATGAAAATGACAATGTCACGAGTGCAAAAAAGAGCAATGGAAAGTTTGCTCGTGGTTCTCTCACTAGGAGTCCTCGTCCAGCTCGCCGGCTGCAGCCCTCCGCCGGACCCAGTGATGTGCACGCATGGCACGTCCAACTGCACCATCACCAACACGTACGGCTCCTTCACGGACCGCACCATCTGCCGCGCGGCCAAGGTCACCTACCCGCGGACCGAGCAGGAGCTCGTCGCGGCCGTGGCGGCCGTGGCGTCCACGAAACAGAAGGTGAGGGTGGCCACCAAGCACTCCCACAGCATTCCCAAGCTGGCGTGCCCCGGCGGCGACGACGGCACCATCATAAGCACGGCGCAGCTCAACCGGACGGTGAGCGTCGACGCAGCGAAGCGGCTCATGACGGTGGAGAGCGGCATGCTCCTCCGGGACCTGGTCGAGGCCGCTGCCGCCGCGGGGCTGTCCCTGCCGCACTCCCCGTACTGGCACGGCCTCACCATCGGGGGCCTCTTGAGCACGGGAGCGCACGGGAGCTCGCTGTGGGGGAAGGGAGGCGCCGCGCACGAGTACGTGGTCGGGCTGAGGATCGTAACTCCGGCGCCGGCGAGCCAGGGGTTCGCCGTGGTGAGGGAGCTCGGGGCTGACCACCCGGACCTGGACGCGGCGAAGGTCTCCCTTGGGGTTCTCGGCGTCATCTCTCATGTGACTCTGGCCATGCAGCCGTTGTTCAAGCGGTCAGTGACGCTCGTGAAGCGCGACGACTCGGACTTCCAGGAGCAGGTGGCTCGGTGGGGTCATCTTCATGAGTACGGCGACATAACGTGGCTGCCGCACGAGGGCAAGGTGATCTACCGCCAGGACGACCGCGTCGACGTCTCCACCCCGGGCAATGGCCTCTACGATTTGCCACTTTTCCGCATCAGCCCCACCCGCGACCTCATCGATGCAAGAACCGCCGAAGAGCGGCTGCAGGAGAATGGGACCGACACCGCCCGGTGCGAGGCGGCGCAGCAGCAGGCGGCCGCGTCGGAGCGGCTGAATATATTCACCAACGATGGCGTCTCCTTCACGGGGTACCCGGTGGTGGGGTACCAGCACCACATCCAGGCGTCCGGCACGTGCCTCAATAGCCCAGAGGATGGCCTCCTCACTTCCTGTGCCTGGGACCCGCGCATCCAAGGCTCCTTCTTCGACAACTCCGGCTTCAGCATCCCGCTGTCCAAGGCACCGGCATTCGTCGCCGACATGCAACGTCTCCGGAACCTCAATCCGTACTTGTTTTGTTCTTCCGTCGACGCCAGGATAGGCGTGCTCCTACGATATGTGAAGGCGTCATCCGCTTATCTTGGCAAGCCGGAGGACTCGATCGGTATCGACATCATCTTTTACCGGAGCCATACCGAAGGCATGCCGCGTGCGCATGCCGATGTGGTGGACGAGATCGAGCAAATGGCGTTGCATAAGTACGGCGGCATCCCGCACTGGGGTAAGAGCCGTAATTTCGCCTTCGATGGTGCAATCACGAAGTACCCAAAAGTTCATGAGTTTCTTAGGGTGAAAGATAGGTACGACCCAGAGGGGCTCTTCTCCAACGAATGGACTAACAAGGTTCTCGGTATCAGTGGAAGTCCCAACATCATCAAAAAGCGTTGTGCCATTGAAGGACTTTGCGTCTGCTCCAACAACTCGCATTGTGCTCCGGAGCAAGGCTACTTCTGCAGGCCAGGGAAGGTGTATAAGGAAGCTCGTGTCTGCTCGTTCTTTAAGAATTATTAAGGATGTCAAATTTGGCAAAGCCGTACATTGCACCACGCCCATTTCCGGTTGCTTGTCAGACCTGAAAATAATGATATGCTTTTCCTTGGTATATACGAGGATATATGTACTATGTTGTGGGCCATCGCTACTTATGCCAACTATCAATCTATTCAATAATGATGTTTTAGTTTCTTGTTTGTCAATTATACTTTGCGAAAAGACACCGAGCCATCCACCTGTCCAACGGTTTAATGTTGTAACCTGCCGTATGATTTAATTTGATGTGGATCTTTCAATGTAAGAATGCATTAGATATCCCCCATAAAAGTGTATGGGGTCAGTTTATATCAGATTATTGGAGGAAAGATAAGTTTTATGTAGAAAATTAGATGTGCTCGTACCTTTGGTTTTCCTGGGCATGAACCAGTATGGTGGTGCTTGGAAACCCTGCTGGTTAAAGCATGCAGATAGTAGAATTCTCCCCTAAGAACTAACTTAAATCTCCCTCTCTAATTGCGATTTTAGCCATTCCAAATCTTACCGTAGGATGAAAGCTAGCATTAAAAACATAAAATAGTACTCCCTCGGTAAAGAAATATAAAAGCAGTTAGATCACTATTTCAGTGATCTAAACGCTCTTATATGTATTTACAGCGAGAGTAGCTACTTATTGATTACAGGGCGGATTGTCGCGCTGAATCCCTCATTCCACCGTCAGCTTCATTAACACTGCTGCTGAGAACCGCCTAAAGAAGGTAGTCACTGAAGCTTTTATCTCCTTCGCCATACACAGTAGCCCTCAAACACCTCCTCAGTAGGCCGCCTCGACCAGAACCTCCCTGCTGTCATGCCCTGGCAGCGGTGAGAAGGGTAGGCGACGGGAGGCGGCTAGGGTTCTCGGTCACCCGGCTCAAACCTCTCACTCACGAAGCATTGCGTTGATTAGAATGTTGGTGCGTACGTGCAGGACCCCAGTTTGTGGAGCCCTTCCTATATCATTATGTCACCCCTCAGTTTGCACAATTAAATTTAACGTCTGCCCTCCTTTTTATCCCTTTGTTCTAGTTACACATGCATTAAGTACGTACGGTCAGCTATCATATCTAGGTCTCGATAAACTGCGAGGGTTTTGTGCAAGATTTTCATACTAAGGAGTTGTCAGGTACGACATCTTTGTTTCACATGATGATGTAGTCAGAATCCCGACTCAACTCCTAGAATCCTACGACTTCACGACCATACGGAAGCATTTGGATCCAAGTCCCACTATGAACCCGGATCTAGTAGAATCCATGTTGAGTCGCGATCCAAATCATAGAATCCTATACAAAACTGTAGAATCAAGACTATGCTATGGACTATGTATGATTTTAATAATTTATCTAAGCCATTTGTTATGTTGTAGCAGAATAGTATGCCATCATCCAAACCACTTTCCACATGCATCATGGCCTTTATTCCCCTCCCAAGCCCAAATGCATAGTAGTCAACACCTTTGATCTAGCTCTTAGAAACCGTAGATAAAAATTGAGGATCGGGCTTGTTAACGAATGGAATTGGTGGGAGAAGAAGGATGCTTCCAGATTGATCGGAGAAGGTGAGCAAGACCCTTGGGTCAGCACTGCATGTCAGCTACACAAGTGATATGCTATTAACATAATCTAAAAAAAACCTACTAAGTATTTTTTTGTGTGTGGAAGATTTAATTGTTCTATATATTTGCCTCTCATATATGTTCCATACATGCAAGCTAGATAGTAGGTTAGCCATGAAAAGATGTGGAATACAACTAGCATTTATGTGTATGTTTTTTGCTCTATATTAACCCATATAAATTTCTAACGTGTATACAAAATATCTTATTTGAGTAAATCTAGTAGAATCCGCGATTCCACGACTCGATACTATGACTCGATTCTGCAAAAGGAAAATCGATCAGACTCCGAATCCCGACTCTGACTACCTTGACCATACAATAGTCAATCTTTTCATATGTAAGCAAGTTTCCAGGAATCACCCGTGTGTGGCATGTTTGTCTATGGTATACATATGCTGATTATGAGCCAAGAATTTTTTAATATACATTTTACCATGTTTTTCACTGGCTAGCTAGCTAGGCCGGTTGAGGTTGGTTATCTTTTAGAGAAAAATATGTTTTTGGCCCCTCAAGTTCCCCAAAAGTATAAATTTTGTCCCTCAAATTTTTTTGGTATACATTTGGTCTTTCAATTCTCAAAACTGGATCCAAAACCAAATTTTAAGCACATTGACTGGGTTTGACCAGGTTTGATAGATGAACAGTAACTTCAAAAACATAGCAAATAAATTCAAAAAAATGAAATTTTGTGGCAACCAAGTTGCTTGGATGCGCAAGGTGCGTGGAAATTTGTGTGGTGTTTCGACATTCGAGGAGATCGCGGCAAAAAAAAAACAAATTTTGGCTCACAAAAACAAGCCAAATTTTGCTTTTGCTTTTTGCTAGAAATCCTCGGATGTTATTTGACCACAAAAAATTACACACACCTAGCGCACCCAAGCATGTTGGTTGTCAATAATTTTTTTGATATTTTTGATTTTTTTAAATTTACTGTTCATCAATCAAACCTGGTCAACATGCTCAAAATCTGGTTTTTAACCAAACTTATCCGTTTTTGAGACTTGAAGGACCAAATGTATACCAAAAAAATCTTGAGGGACCAAGTCTATACTTTTAGGGAATTTGAAGGACCAAAAACATACTTTTCTCTATCTTTTATATGTTGATGACTGAAAGGTCGCTACCACCAACCAACATATTTAGGGGCACACATGCATCATGTATGTACTTGGACCGAGCGTTACACAACCATATGTACAGCAAGATAACTAGCCACAATCCATCGCCATGACAATGTACTACTCACCACCACCACACACATATTCATGCTTGCATTCCCATTTCTAGAAGCACTTGGGCAACAACAAATATCGTATCCTATTGGTCCTATTGGCACAACATGGGAGAAGTTTCTCTCTTCAAGACACAAACTAGAAAGGTGTATTACACAGCCTGACGGTTCCCTTCGAGAGATCAAGTTGGGGACACACTCTCACACACATGGCTGGGGCCGGCCATGTGCATTTGTGATGGGATTGGGAAGCAGTGGGAAAGAAGGTGTGGCACACCTAGTCTCTGTGCCTTGAGTTGATCAAGATTAGTTCCCTCTCTGGAAATGTCATCGCAAGATCGGTCAAATCAAGAGGAAGGGGTGAGGCTCAGGAGGCATGCTAATCTTGGGATGCAGCAGATGATGAGGAACAATTAGGACGGCATCCGTGGTGTAGCTATGTGCTTGGCAACACTTGTTATTTTGTCGGGTGTGCATCAGATTGCTCCTGCGACAAATGTCACGATCAAAGGTTTCCCGTCCAGGACGGGTTCAAACTGGCCGCTACTCTGCAGACAGGCGCAACAACAGTTCTGCACAGATGGACCGAGGCCTTGGAATTCAGTGGAGAGTGAAGATTAGGTTTTGTTTGCTGCACCAACATTTTCAATTCAGTAGAGAGATGCATTCGTCTAGTAGGACAGGATTCTGTACTAAATTTTTCCCAATGGATAACAAAAGAAAATAGAATTGTACCCACACATGGGCTTACTAATATACCTCACATGAGTAAATACATATGTTGAGGGCATATGTATGCATGGAGCAATGCATGCCCATGTGTGCATGGTTTTTTCTATCAATTATTTGTAAAGTGCCAGCCCTGGTGTAGACGTGGACACGAGTATGCTCTCGTCTTAACAATGCGATGAGCAACTATACACAAGTGAACATACGGAGGCATGCATAGCATGATAACACGTATGAATCAATGGGCCAATGGCCGTATAAACAATTACCTGACCAGCCAATCAACCTGCATTAGCTTATGTTGAGTTTTTAGCTAATATGCATCCACGTGCATGGAGTGGAATATCCATCCAGTTGTTTTGGTGAAGCGCCCCATGTGCAGTACTGCATCTCTCTTTTTATTATTTTAGATCTCCATATAGCTTTATTGAACAATGTTAATGGGATACAAGCAATAAGTGGAGGTGAGGTGAGCTAAACATGGCACACACTCTCCAAATTAAGGAGCAGCAACTTTAACCAAACTATGAGCATCTACAACTGCAATACCCAAAAGCCGGCCCTGAAACGCCCGCGGACGAGTCCGGACGCATCCGTGAACAATGACCGGGAACCACACCAAAAACGTCCGCCACAACCATGAAACTCAAAGTTCATACATCAAATCCTTAATACCCATGCAAATAAAAACATATGTACTACGTACATAGGCTAAACTACTTATGGTCGGAGATCTCGACAATCTCTGTGCCCGACGCTGGGTAGACAGGCAACTGCGGAAGCTCCTGCGCCAGCGGAGGCTCTGGCACCTCCTTCCCCTCTGCGTTCAGTTTGGCGAACATCACCTCTGTCACTGCCTGTTCTTGTAGGATGAGCTGCCGGTTGGACTCGACGTAGGCCTCATCCTGGATGGACTTGAGGATGACGGTCTTCTCTGCCATCTCAACCGCTTGGGCGGCCTCGTACTCCGCCTTCACATCCTCCATGGCAAAGCCTGCAGCCAGCAATGCCCCACCTCCTCCTCCTCCGGCTCCGCCGCCTCCTCCTCCATGGGCCCCGCTTTCGGCGGCTGCTCCCCTCCTCCTCATCCTCCGCCGGCTTTGGCCAATCCGGATGAAGGCCGGCGGTGAAACGAGCAGCCCGCATCGCCTCGATCTGCTCCGGCAGCTGCGTCCTCCGCTCCGGAGTGAGCATGACATAGGTGGTTATCTGGCGCCTCGGCATGGCAAGTGGAGGGCGTAAGTGCAAGTGCCGGCGACGGAGAGGAGAAAGGGGATGAAATGGGGCGGGCTAGGCTTCTGCTGCCCCTGTCTGTCTTGAATAGCCGGCTTCCTCCCTCGGGCATCAACAAGGGCATGTGGAAACTACGAAGACCATGAAAGTCGGCCAAATCCAAGCGAA